GATCAAATTTTAGGATTTTCAGTGCGGCTTATAGTCGTGAAAATACGGTAATAGTAATTTTGAATGAGTGCACACTCTCATCAGTGCCACAAGATGGAAGCATAATATTTTTATTGGTTCTGCATGTTAAAAAATAAGACCAGATTAAAGTACTTCTGTTTGAAACCTAGAATCACAGATAGAATGCCAGTAATGACCCTATATTATGTATGAACTTACTTGCAAGATACAGTACTTACGTTTTAAATTTCTAGGTACCTTGCTACATATTTGATGAAAACCTGAAAAAACATGATTTAAATCCATTGATTAAGACATCTGGTGGATACTTGATAGAAGACTCAGATGATGATTCACAGTTATACATCAACATATGTAGAAACATAGGTATGAAATTCAACTAAAAAATAATGAGTAGTTTTCTTTAATTTCCATAAGGCAAGACATTTTTACATCTAAAATTTTACCATGCTTCCCTTTAGGATGAAAGGCATAAAATATTAGTGCTTTTATTTGAGTGACACTGATTCCTCAGTGTTTCCCAGTTCTCCATTTCATTAAATACCTCTATTTTATTCAAGATATTTATTTATCATTAATATTTATGAGACTTCCAATTTTTAAAATATATACTCTAAATTTCCTCTTGTATCTATGGTTTTGCAGAACCTGCTGATCAATTCTTTCCCACTTTTCTGACATTTTCCCCATAACTTTTTGTCCAGATATTAGATAATGTTTATGCCTATTTATCTTCAATATTTTGGTTGTTGAATAATCTATAGTTCAATATATCTCATTGGTGCTGCTACCTTGTTCCATTTTAGTCATCAATAATAGTGAGATGTTCCTTAAATGTGTGGAAAAAAATGTCTGAGCTCAATATTTTCTCAAACTGTTATTTGTACAATTATTAGACTGCCTTATGGAAAGCAGTTCTTGGGCAATAGTTTAAATATAATAAATATAATATAATATTTTGGGAGGAAAATTATATTTTTGGGTATATAAAATATTTTAGAACATAATATTAATAGGTATATAGTTGGTTTATAGCTTCCTTTAAAAATGCCATTTCTATGACTAATATATAACTTTGGTGCATGAAGATATTCTTAAAGCTGTGAAAACCATTTTGGGGCACTAAAAATGAGTGTAATCTTGCATCATGCTTAATGCAAATAACTTGATAAATATATTTGCCTTATTTCTGGAACTTCTGATCAAGGTATTTCTGTAAGATGATATCTCTTCAGTCATATAAATTTCTAATCTGCTCTTGCCCACTTTGCCATGTTAGTGTCTATTGTATATAAAATAAAATTTTGATTGCCACAATTCTGATTTATAACTTGGCTAAATAGCTTGTCCTTTCTATTTTTTATTGTTTTGGATGACGTGGCCAAAGAGCGTATCTTTGATTTGATTTAAGCAAACTTTTGGAAACTTTTAACTAAGGAACATACTTATACATGTAATACATAGGTTGTTATTAATCATTGCTTTAACAGGAAAGTCCTCAGGAGAAACTAGCAGTTGTCCAGAGCACAGTGCAGCTTGCTTGGTGAAGGATGGTCGTGCGTTTGATCTGGGCCATACTAAAGAATTACTAAAACGGCTTGATAAAGACAGGTATGGCTGAAGTCTTTGTGTGATCTTTGAAAGTCATCAGCATGTCAGCGCTATTTATAGTGAATAAGGTTGGAAGAAGATAGCTGTAAAGTTCAAATTTTAATGCAAAGTTTAATTCTTACATGTTTCTGCTATTACTAGGAATTTGTATTGAGAGTTGAATTAGATGTCCTTTGTTTAGCATATTTTTCAGAGCATAAGACGCACCTTTTCCCACCAAAAAAGAGGGTGAAAATCTGGATCCACTGAATACAGCATTTGTGGCCTCCTGAAACCTTGCCCCTTCACGAAAATGGATGTGCAGAGGATTGGAAAACCTGCAAAGTGTTCCTGGGGGCTGGGGAGGGCAAAAACGAGCAAAAAATGGGTGGGTTTTTTTGCTTGTTTTTGCCCCCCCTCCCAGCCCGCAGGAGCACTCTACAAGCCTCCCAAAACCTATGCATGCCCTTTTTTGGACAAAAATTGAGCCCATTTTCACAAAAGGCAGGCCCGATTTTTTGCTCGGTCCCTCCCCCCCCAGTCCCCAGGAGAACTTTGCAGGCCTCTCAAACCCTCTGCATGCCCCATTTTTCACAAAAGAGGCATGCAGAGGGTTTGGGAGAGCTGCAAAGTGCAAAAACTTTTTTTTAAATTTACCTCTTCAAAAACGTGGTGCGTCTTATATTCCAGTGTGTCTTATACGCTAAAAGTATGGTAATTTACAACGGTTTTAAAATTAGCCTATTTTTGTATGTTTTTGGAGCACAAAAAATAACTTTTTATTAGAGGAGGGCCTAGAAGCTCTAGAAAACCACAAGCATTGCTTTCATAGGTACTGCATTCTTAATTTTGTTCCTAATTGTATATTATATTATTCTGTTGAATTCACTGAATTTGTAGCTGTTCTTCCCACCACTATCCCTTTATTTATTTACTTGTGCTAATTTCGACAAATATTTCTTCTGTAGTGCCAGCATCTCCCTAGAAGTATCTTACTTGCTATTTTATTTTTGTGACTATATATTGCCTTCGGGTGGGCTAACTGATTATGCAAGAGTACTGATAGAATTAGTGTAGTATGGGAGAACAATATAAAATGATTTGAGTCAACTTGTAATTTAAACAACAATTTGAAATTAGTATGACACCATTGTTCTAGATTCTGCTTGTGTAATTGTTCACTCCCCAGTTTGATATCTTGCAGAGAAGTTTGAATTCCAGTTTCTTATATTTCCTAGCCCTCTTGTTTTTTAACTGTTACACTTCAACTATACTTTGGAGGGTTTTTCATTGGGAACTTTGCTTTGTGTGAATCTCCTGGTAGTTTATTTTTTATGTTTATGTTTCTTATTTTTTCAGGTTTCAGCTGAGATACAGCAATGTAGCAGAGAAACCAGACTTTTGTGGTAGCCATGACCCAGCAGTTACAATTACTTTCGTATGTCCAGAGGGAAGGCAAAGAGAGGTAATCAACAATTTCCTATGATGGATGTTGAGCACTGTTATTTGACTGGGAAGAGCAATGGATATAGCATTAACTCAAAATAAGTGTATCAGCATATTTTAATTTTACAGGGCCATGTCAAGATAATATATTGTTTGAAAGATAAATATCATGATCATTCTTCCTCATACCTTTCCTCATTGCCCAAACAGAGTTCAGTATGAAGGTTGTTAAAATTATTTTTGGGGCAGAATATCCGACAAGTCTTTCTTCTTCCTGACAGCAAAGATACTGTCAATAATGAATTAAATGATGACAATTTCGGGACATGCACAATCACCCGTGTTGACCCTTTCATTAAGGCATTAAGATCTTTGTTGTAATTCATAATTAACTAAACTGCAAACAATTTTTTTACAGTCACTGCCATGATTTTCCAATGGTTGGGAATTTTACTGGATAAGGATGTTTATAGGTTTAGGGAGTTTTTATGATATTCGTTCATGTCGGATAATTGATTATTTGGATTTTTAAAATCCAAAGGCAACTGTTTTTGAGCAGGTGTTGCATTTCAGTTTTGTTTTGTTTTTCATTTACATTCAGTTTCTAAAGACTGCTAGAGGCCTGGTGGTAAAGTCACAGAAGTGATAGGCTTAAATGTTTAGCCATTTTTTTAAAATTTTGAGTGGCTGTATGCTTTAGTTAAAAACAGAAAAAAAGGATATAAATCATATCAAAGCTTTAATCATTTATTTTAGGGTGATATTTACTGGATGGGAAAACATTACATTTTACTGCTGAAAATTGAGGCTTTGCTAGTAGGTTTTGGTGGTATGGTACTCCAAGTTGCTAGAAACAGTAAAAATGGTTCATAAGAGGGCATACGCAGAAACATAAAACAGTTTGTCATCTTACACCCTTGCCCCTCCCCTCCCCAGTTTAGGCTATTAAAAATTAAGATTAGATTAAGATTTAATTTATTTGTATGCCGCCCTTCTCCGGGAGGGACTCAGGGCGGTGAACAACTCAAAAGGGGAAAGGGGA